CACACTCACACACTCACACACTCACACACTCACACACTCACACACTCACACACTCCTATATATATATATATATAAATATAATATATATGAGGTATATGAGCTAATACAACACATTCATATATACAGGGCTGTTGTATGTGTATATTTGTAGCGCTTGCCGTCTGAGCGCTTTCAGTTCATGGTTGTCAGAACCCTTAAACGAGACGGATGCGTAGACTCGTAGATGTTCTGCACGGACGGGTGTGAAGCACTGTTAGTTAGCTCTTTGTATGCAGGCATGTGAACATACTTGTAAATGTATTGGCTAATTGGGTTGTTTCACCTTTACCACACACCGATTGTACAGTTGCACCTGTACCACACACTGATTATACAGTCAGCTGGTTGGGTTGGTTCACCTGTACCACACACTGATTATAAAGTCAGCTGGTTGGGTTGGTTCACCTGTACCACACACTGATTGTACAGTCAGCTGGTAGGGTTGTTTCACCTTTACCACACACTGATTATACAGTCAGCTGGTTGGGTTGTTTCAACTTTACCACACACTGATTATACAGTCAGCTGGTTGGGTTGTTTTACCTTTACCACACACGGATTATAAAGTCAACCGGTTGGGTTATTTCACCTGTACCACACACTGATTATACAGTCAGCTGGTTGGGTTGGTTTACCTGTACCACACACTGATTATTCAGTCAGCTGGTTGGGATGTATCACCTTTACCACACACTAATTATACAGTCAGCCGGTTGGGTTGTTTCACCTTTACCACACACTGATTATACAGTCAGCTGGTTGAGTTGTTTCACGTGTACCACACACTGATTATACAGTCAGCTGGTTGGGTTGTTTCACCTGTACCACACACTGATTATTCAGTCAGCTGGTTGGGTTGTTTTACCTTTACCACACACTGATTATACAGTCAGCTGGTTGGGTTGTTTCATCTGCAAGGGCCCAAGCGCAATGCACCCACCCGCAGTAGCACTATGAGACAGCCGGTGATGTTTTATCGCCGCCATCTCTGACCCAATTAATTCCACACAAACAAAAATACTATCTGGTAAGATTAGGTTGAATGATAGTCAGAGTAGGTTGTGGATTCGGATACAAACCCGAATTCCTTCCCGTATTGTTATCTAAAAGTGCTGTTTTTTTTGCATCCCATTTTTTATTTGCTATCCCATATGGCACATACCAACTACAACTACAGCTACTTAGTGGCCTGTTGGTCCATAGTCAGTGACGCAAGCTCAACGCACCCACAACCAGTCGCTCGGCGGGACAGCCAGAAGTAGCTCAATCTAACAGCCTTCCTTTCTCCCAGTACAGTCAGTATAGTGCAATTCAGTACTCAGAGTAGGTCACAAACTGGATCCCGAATCACACCTTTTCTCCATATGTTCATTCTCAAGTGTTAAACCGAATGTACCACGCCATACCTCTCCATATGTTCATACTCAAGTGTTAAAAGAATATACCACGCCATACCTACCCATATGTTCATTCTCAAGTGTTAAACCGAATATCTCACGCTATACCTACCTCTCAAGTGTTAAACCGAATATCTCACGCCATACCTACCCATCGTATAGTGGCCTGGGCGGACTGTTCCGTATTCAGTGGCGGAAGCTCAACGCACCCACAAACTGTCGCAATGTGGGACAGCCGGGCATGATAAACTTAGCCAAGCTCTCCTCTGTGCGGTGGGGTGACAAGTATATCGCCGAGTTCCTGGATGTGTCTGAGAAACAGTCACTACAGGTACTATTTATGTATGCGTACATTACTGTTGTTGGTAAGGTCAATGTATCTTGTATGTATGTACGTTTGGCTTGATATGTGCATGGGTATAAGCGTGTATATGTGGTTAGGTGTGTATATGTACGTATTACTGCCGGCCATGGTGGGCCGGGCAGATCTCTCCTCTGTGCGGTGGGGCGACAAGTATATCGACAAGTTCCTGGATTTGTCCGAGAAGCAGTCACTACAGGTACTATTTATGTATGTATACATTACTGTTATTAGAAAGGTCAATGTATCTTGTATGTATCTACGTTTGGCTACAGGTACTATTTATGTAAGCATACTTTACTGTTATTGGAAAGGTCAACGTAGACCAGTTGGTTCAAGCCCTAATGAATACCACGTTCATTAGTAGAAATAATGTCTTGTACGTATCTACGTATGGCTTGCTATTTGCATGGCTATAAGTGTGTGTATGTTTTTATGTGTGCATGTTATGTATGTGTGTGTGCACGTATTACTGCCGGCCATGGTGAACCGGACAAATCTCTCCTCAGTACGATGGGGAGTACAGGTATATATCACAGAGTCTTTGTAATGTAACTGAGAAGCAGTCACTACAGGTAATGCCCAGTGTATAAAGTGTAGGTGATGCATCGGTACTTGTGTGTATGTATATATGCATGTATGTGTGAATGTATGTATGTATGTGTGTATGTATGTATGTATGTATGTATTATGTGTGCACAAGTGTTTGTATGTGTGTATGTTACGTATAGGTATATACATATGCATAGCCAGAATAGGCCGATATGGCAACGCTATGCTTTTGCCGAGAGAGTCGAATGTGGTGTGCCTTGATGTGTCTGAGCAGTAAGCAGGTTATGACCTGTGTATGTTATAGACAGAATATAGTACTGATTATCTTATCATACTTTCCCCTAGAAACTATCACCCATAGACCTCATTGAACTATGTGTGCAAGTGTGTATGTATGTGCTCATGGTTATCAGTATGTTGGTGTTTGTGCATATATATCTTTATATACCATGATTTTCATATTCCATAGGCAGACTTTGTCGGATTTTAGGAGAAACCTTATCGACTTACAATACACTGTCACTATGGATGCATCCCACCTCGAGTGAACATGTCAAGCTTTTAGGGTTTTAGTAAAACCCTAAAACCCTAAAAACCTTAAAAGGTACTGCATGCACACATTAGAGTACTCGCATATAATCATGCGCATGGCCTCTCCATGTATACATACTAACACGCTGCATGTACCGTTATATGCACACCATCAAGCGGAGCTCACCACACCAGATATACTCTTTCTGACCTCGTCACCACTGGTGCCTTTTATCTTATCGTGGGGTTGTTAGTACTATTCCATTGCAGGCCTTATGGTACGCTCACGCACAACACATGTCCATGGTTGTGCACATGCTAATACAATCCACCTGTATAATACACGCCCAGTATACTAACCGAGGACCGTGAGAAATATCTGGCTATTGCCACGCTCACAACAGCGGTCGTCGAGTCTGCGGTTAATGCTCTGCATTAATACGGGTTATTTGTCAACACCAAACACCAACACTATAGCATACATTACAGTAGACTCACGCATCCATTCAAGCCATGAGCACTTGGGCCGTTCCGTGCTTGTACTAATGCAATCCACCGATACTGTACACATCTAAATACACTCTATAGGAGAGCCGGGAGAAGTATCTGGCTAATGCCAATCTCACAACGGCTATCTTCGAGTCTGCGGTGGATGCCATGCTTGTGATCGACACACACGGCAAGATCATGATGTTCAATGCGGCAGCTGAACGCATGTTCCGATGGCGAATGTCGGATGTGGTCGATAAGGATATCAGCATACTGATGCCAGATGATATCGGTGAGTTATTATGTATAT